GTTTGATCTGTGCCCTGCCATCTTACTGAACTCATTTATTAGCTCTCACAGGGTTTGAGTTTTTTTTTCCCTTGGTGGATTCCTTAGGATTTTCTATATACATAATGCAAATAGAGATAGTTTTACTTCTTTCTTTCTAGTGTGGATGCCTTTTATGTCTTCTTGCCTAATTCTGTTGGCTAGTACCTCTAGTACAACCTTGAATAGAATTGATGAGAGTAGACATTCTTGTCTTATTCTTTCTTTTAGGGAGAAAGTATGATATCAGCTATGAGGGTGCTGTTTGTTTTTATAGATGTCCTTTATCAAGCTGAGAAAGTTCTTTTGAATTCCTAGCTAGTTGGGTGTTTTATGATGAAAGGGTGTGGCATTTTTGTCAAATGATTTTTTCCACATTTATTGAGATGATCATGTAATTTTTGACCTTTATTCTATTAATACAATATATTATACTAACTAATTTTCAAATGTTGAGCCAACTTTCCATTTTGGGGATAAATCTCACTTGGTCTTATATTAATTCTGTGTATGTGTTGTTGGACTTGATTTGCTAGTATTTTCTTGAGAATTTTCATAAGAATTACTGGTTGGCAGTTTTCTTGTGATGTTTTTGACTGGCTTTGGTATTAGGGTAATGTTGGTTTCATAGAACTAGTTGGAAAATGTTCATTCCTCTTCCATTTTTAAGAAGAATTTGAGGACTGGTATTAATTCTTTAAACACTTGGTAGAATTTACCAGTGAGACTATCTGGTCCTGGGCTTTTCTTTTTTGAGAAGTTTTTGATCACTGATTTAATCTCTTTATTTCTATAAATCTATTCAGATTTTCTATTTCTTCATGAAAATGAGTCTGTTTGGTAGTTTGCATCTTTCTAGAAATTTTTCTGTTTTTACCTAGATGGTCTAATTTGTTGGTTTACCATTGTTCTTACTAGTTTCTTATAATCCTTTTTATTTCTGTAAGGTTGGTAGTAATGTCCCCTGTTTGATTCTTGATTTTAGTAATTTTAATCGTTCCTCTTTTTTTCTTGGTCAATTTAGCTTAAACATTTGTCAATTTTGTGGTCTTTTCCAGGAACCATGTTCTGGTTTCACTGATTTCTCGCTATTGCTTTTCCATTCTTTATTTATTTCCACTTTAGTTTTTATTATTTACTTCTTTGTTCTTACTTTGGATTTGGTTTGCTCTTCTTTTTCTAGATTCTTAAGGTTGAAGGTTAAGGAATTGATTTGAGCTTTCTTCTTTTTTTTTTAACCTAGGCATTTACAGGTATAAATTCCCTCTGAGCACTGCTTTCACTGTAACCCATACATTTGGTATGTTGCATTTTTGTTTTCATTCATCTCAAAGTCTTTTCTAATTTTCCTTGTGATTTCTCATTGACCCATTGGCTATTTAGGAATGCGTTATTGATTATAATCTGTCTAGGTGTGGATCTCTGAGTTTATCCTACATGGAGTTCATTAAAGTTCTTGGATGTGGGGATTGTTTTTCATCAAATTTGTCAAGTATTCAGCCACTATTTTTAAAAATATTCTTTCTGCTTCTTTTTCTCTTTCCTCCCTCTCTAGGACTCCCATATGTCAATGAATTTTGATTGTAATTTTATCTATGTAAACATATGTAACTACCAAGATATAAATCACCCATAGCCCCCGGAAGGTTACCAGGGACCCCTTCCCATCAATCCACACTACCCCCTGGCTCTGCGGGTGACTTCTAACATTTATCACTATAGATTATTGCTATAGATCTTTTTTTGCCTGTTTTTGAATGTTATACAACTTAAACCACCCAGAATCAACTCCTTTATGTCTGGCTTATTTAGCTCAAGATTATATCTGTGAGATTCATGTCTCTTATGACATGGAGCAACAGCACATATGTTTTTGTTGCTGTGTATCATTCTGTTATATGAACATGTCACACTTTTGTTGATGAATATTTGAGTTGTTCCCAATTTTACCTTTTATAAATAAAGTTGCTATAAATATTCTTGTACATATCTTTTGTGGACTCATGTGTTTTTTTTTTCATATATCTGTATGTGTGTGCATACATAATCCTAGGAGTGTAAATTTTGGATTGTAGGGTACGGCCAGTTTTCCAAAGCATTATTCCAATTTAAAGTCCCACTATCAACATTTGAGGGTTCCAGTTCCTTTACATGATTCTCAGCACTGAGTAACGTCAATTTAAGTTTTAAGAAATTTAATCAATTAATTAATTAAAGACAGTTTCTCACTCTGTCACCCAGGCTGGAGTTCAGTGGTGCTATTATAGCTCATTACAGCCTTGACTACCACCTCACCTTCCTGAGTAGCTGTGACCACTGATTTGTGAGCTGTGACCATTGATTTGTAGAAGTTTTTAATATATTCTGTATATGTATCCTTGGTTGGATATGTATATTACAAACATCTTCCTCTGGTTTGTAGCTTGTCTTTTCATTCTTTTTATGGTACCTTCTTATAAATAGCTTTTAATTCTAATGGAGTAAAATTTATTAATCTTTTATGGTTAGCTTTTTTATTAAGTAATCTTTGCCTGTCTAAGTTATAAAGTTATGCCTTTTTGAAACCTTTTATTTAAAATTTCAGATTTACAGAAAAGTTGTAAAAATAATACAGAGAATTTAGGTATACACTTAATCCAGCTTTCTCTAATTTTACTTACATAACCATGGTATAGTTATCAAAATAATGAAAATATTCTTATTTTTCTTTTAGAAGCTTTATTTTGTCTTTTATTATTTTAAAAGTAAAATTAAGTCTATGACCTATATTGAGTTAATTTTGCCTATAATATAATGCATGGGGGGACAAGATCTATTTATTTTTGATATGGATATGCATGTGCTCCAGCTCCATTCATTGAGAAGCATTTCATTTACATATTGAATCACTGGTCCCTTTGTTGAAAATCACGTGTAGGTCTGTTTGTGAACTCTTTATTTGTTTTATTAATCTATTTGGCTATTGCTAACTTATCTGTTGTAGCTTTATACTAGATCTTAAAATCTGGAAGTGTAAGTCCTCCACTTTATTCTTCTATAAGGTTTTTTGGATATTTCTGGCTTAATCTCATTATAAGTATCAGAAACAGATTTTCTTTTGTGAAACTAGTGAATCATTAGTCAATTTAATGAATGTTAGAGGTGATTAAAACTGAAGAAAAGGGGCCGGGCGCGGTGGCTCAAGCCTGTAATCCCAGCACTTTGGGAGGCCGAGGCAGGTGGATCACGAGGTCAAGAGATCAAGACCATCCTGGTCAACATGGTGAAACCCTGTCTCTACTAAAAATACAAAAAATTAGCTGGGCATGGTGGCACGTGCCTGTAATCCCAGCTACTCAGCTTCCTGAGTAGCTGGGATTAC